TCTGTTACATATATAACATAGAAAAGCTTTTCTTTTGAGAGAGAGAGAGAGAAATGGAGAAGGAAGAGCCAGACAGAGAGGGAGAAAATCCCAAGCAGGCTCCAATGCCCAGTGCAGAGCCCAACTTGGGGCTCGATCTCATGAATCTCTAATCATGACCTGAGCTGAAATCAAGAGTCGGATGCTTAACCAACTGAGACACCCCAGTGCCCCCAAAATCCTTTTCTAATGTAAGTGTTCAGTTCTATTAATCTTTAAGAGCTGCTTCAGATGCTCATTTTGCTTTCACTTTTGTTTTTTTTTTTTTGACCCTTGTCTCCAGAGAACATATTTTATACAACTTGAATCTTGTTAAATTTATTGATATATTTTTTATAGCCTCAAATATAGTCTGTCTTGGTCAGTATTCTTTGTGTACTTGGAAAGAATTTGTATCTGCTGTTAGTGAAAATATTCTATAAATATGAATCTGGTCAAGTTGGTTGACAGTGTTGTCCAAGTCCTCTATGTTTCTACTGATTTCCTTATCTATTTACTCAGTTATTGAGAAAGAAGTGCTTTTCCTACTATACTTGAGTCTTTGTCTCTTTCTCATTGATTCCACCAGTTTTTATTTCATATGTTCTGAAGCTCTGCTATTTTTGATTAGGATGTTAATGAAAAATCCAGGAAAAGTTTTGGGGTCATTTAAGAACACAAGTTATGAGTAGGTAAATAATAGACCTAAGAATTATGTTTTACTGGAGTTTAGGAAACATGTGGCCCCACATGGTAGCTCTATCTAGTGATTTATTTTTAGGCTTTGCAGACCAGAGATTAATTGCTCCATCTAGGTTACAGTGTCTATTTTAATCAAATTATAACACATCAGGATAAAGAACCAAAAGAAGCAATCACAAATACTAGGTTGAACCATGTAAAGTCGTCATTTTTCTCTGACCTACAAAAATGGTAAGTTCTCACAAAGGAAGGATTTTTGTTCATTATTGTATTTTTCAGAATAGTGAAAGAATTGGGAGCTATGTAGATGTTTTTCATCATAGCATTTTTCAGAATGGTGAAAAAATTGAGAGGTAAATCTAATAAATGTTACACAAGTTTTGCCGTATCCATATCATGGAATTAAAATGAATGTTTTGGGAGATTACTTAATAACCTACTCCCTTTATGTTGTCATCCAGTTTTAAGACATTAGATTCCATCTATACATGCTGGCAACTCCCAAATTTATATCTGAAGTCCAATTGCTCACAAAATCCAGACTTAGACATTCAATTTCCTGTTCACCATTTCCACTTGGATATCTAATTAATATTTGAAATTTAATATGTCCAAACTTGAACTTCTGGTCTGTCTCCAAAGCCAGTTCTCCCCACATCCTTTTTTTTTTTTTTTTAAAGATTTTATTTATATATTCATGAGACACAGAGAGAGGCAGAAACATAGGGAGAAACAGGCTCCCCGCGGGTAGACCAATGTGGGACTCCATCCCGGACCCCAGGGACCATGCCCTGAGCGAAAGGCAGATGCTCAACCGCTGAGCCGCCCAAGGCATCCCTCTCCCCACATCCTTAACTCATCTCATTTAACAGAAATTCTAGCTTCATCCTTCCAGTTGTTCAGGCCAGATCCTTAGTCATTCCTGACTTTTCTTTCGCTCATCCCCCACATTTAAACCATCAGGAAACCATCTTTGGCTTTAGTTTTAAAATATACGCAGTACCCAACACTTCTATCACCTTCATTGCTACCCCTGTGGTCTTCTTTCTCTTAGACTACAAAAGCCTCCTACCTTAACTGCAGTTAATCAATATTTTTAAATTAAAGTTAATATTTTATTTTTAAACATTTTATTTATTCATGAGAGGGGGAGGGGGGGGAAGAGAGAGAGGCAGAGACACAGGCAGAGGGAGGAGCAGGCTCCACGTAGGGAACCCGACGTGGGACTCGATCCGGGTCTCCAGGATCACGCCCTGGGCTGAAGGCGGTGCTAAACCGCTGAGCCACCCGGGCTGCCCTAAAGTTAATATATATATATATATATTTTTTTTTAAAGATTTTATTTATTTATTCATGAGAGACAGAGATAGAGAGAGGCAGAGGGAGAAGCAGGCTCCATGCAGGGAGCCCGACGTGGGACTCGATCGCTGGTCTCCAGGATCACATCCTGGGCCAAAGGCAGGTGCTCAACCGCTGAGCCACCCAGGGATCCCCTAAAGTTAATATTTTAAAGGGTAGTTATGAAAACTGCATAGATAGCTCTGGACCAAGTTCAAATAGACACGGAAGACAGGTCTGTAAAGCATTGCACCATAAAGTTTGGAGATATTTGCTTTAATCGTCTCATCTTTTTCTTCTGCATCTTCGTGCCCCCCTCCTTTGTTTCTTCTGTAACTGAATATCAGGAACTGGGGCAGTTATCAGTTTACTGCAGCTCGGCTCCAAATCTACCCTTTATTGCCTGTTCTGCAACAATGAAGCTAGGCCCTGTTGTAAACATTTCTCCTTTGCCAGATGGCCCAATGTGAACCTTTGCCAGTGGAATGCACTGGAGAGGCACTGAGGAGGGAGCCCCCCCCCCCCCCCCCCCCGCTGCTCCTCCGCAGGAAGCTCCTGGCCCTTGTGGTGCTCAGCAGCCACCCTTGTTTGGCACTCCCTTGGGTGGCTCTCCAGTGAGTCTTACTGGCACAGTACCTTTCCCTGGATGGCCTCCCAGCAAGTTCTGGGATATGGTACCTCCCTATGGATACCCTGCTGGCACCTCACGGCAGATTCACAAGTGCCACTAGTGCAGCATTTCAGTTAACTTTTTTGACATCTAATGGACCATGATTGTGGCCTTTCTAACAAAATCTGGGCCTCAGCCTGAGGGAAAGGGGGCATTTTAGGTATGGCTTGGCCTCAGGCCTAGGGATAGTAGCTACTCATATAGATACTATTCTTGTGTTTTTTGTTTTTTTTTAATTCTTGTATTCTTGAGTTTTTTATTGCTTGGTAGCAAATCATTATTTTTTGTTATAGTTTGTGATGGTTAAAAGTTATGTATCAATTTGGCTGGACCATGGTGGTCAGATATTTAATCAAAATCATTCTGGGGATGGCTACGTGGCTCAGTTGGTTAAGCATCTATCTTCAGCTTGGGTCATGATCCCAGGGACCTAGGATTGTGTCCCGCTTTGGGCTCCCTGCCCAGTGGGGAGTCTGCTTCTCCCTCTGCCTCTGCCCCTCCTGCTATTCATGCTCTCTCTCTTGCAAATAAATAAATAAAATATTAAAGAACAAATATTCTGAATGTTTCTATGAAAATGTTTTTTTGTTTTTGTTTTTTTTTTTTGGTGAAATTAATATTTACATTGGTGGCCTTCAAGTAAAGCAGATTACCCTTCCATAGCTTGGGGGGGGGGGCCTGAACAAATCATTTGAGGGCCTAACAGAACACTGACCTCTGAGCAACAAAGAATTCTGCTAGAGGACTGCCTTTGGACTTGAACTGCAAGTCTTCTCTGAGTGCCCGACCTGCCAGCCTACCCTGCAGAGTTTGGATTTACCAAGTCTCTCTTGGTTCTGTTTCTGGAGAGAACTCTCATACATAGTTTTTTACATTATTATTATTTTTAAAAGGTTTTATTTATTCATGAGAGACACACAAAGAGAGAGGCAGAGACACAGGCAGAGGGAGAAGCAGGCTCCATGCAGGGAGCCCAACGTGGGACCAATCCTAGGACCCCAGGATCACACCCTGAGCCGAAGGGAGGGGCCAAACTGCTGAGCCACCCAGGGATCCCAGTTTTTACATTAAAACACCCCTTTTGGGGCACCTGGCTGGCTCAGCAGGTAGAGAATGCAACCTGATTTCATTAGTTCAAGCCCCACAGTGAGCATAGAGCTTACTTAAAAAAATAAAAATATAAAAATTTAAAAAACATCTCACTTCAAATAGCTGTGTCTTGATTAAAATTCTGTGTCTTGATTGGACACTGACAAATCCTCATCCACATAGGCAAATGCCTACTAAGCTTTTCTACTGGGATATCTAACAGGTATTCTAAACTTAGGTCCAATAGTAAGCTTTTTTTTTTTTTTTTTTTTTACCTTTTAAATATTTATTTATGAGAGAGGGAGGAGAGAGAGAGAGAGAGAGACAGCACGTGGGGAGGAGCCAAAGGTGAGGGAATGAAGTAGACTCTGCTAAGCCCAGGGCCTGATGCGAGGCTTGATCTCATCACCCGAGATCATGATATGAGCCCGTATCAGTAGTTGATGCTTAATCAACTGAGCCACCAGGTGCCCCCAAAACGTAAGCTTTTGATATTGATCCTAACTTGTTTCTCCTGCACTTTCCCAATTTCAGTAATGCCTGGAACCATTTTCAGGGAGGAGGCCTTCTCTGGCTAACCCACTTATAATTGCAGTCCCCCTCCAGGCAGCCCTAATCACACTTTCAATCTCTTCTTTGCTTCTTATTGTTAACTACAATGTGTATTACTTCTCATGTTTATTGTGTAACTCTTCCATTAGAATATAAATTCCCCCCCCAAAAAATTCTATAACAGCAGGAATTTGATGTTTAAAATGCCATGTGTGAAAATAAAAATAAAATGCTATGTGTCCATAACTTGATGCAATGATTTAAGTAATGCTTACAGTGAGCAGCCAATGAATCTTTGCTTTCTATTTTTATCGTAGACTATAATGGTAGTTATGTTTGAGTGTTTTAAGAAATCCTTCCCTTTTCCAGGTTCATAAATACATTCTGTATTTTCTTCTAAAACGTTTGTTTTTCCTTTTTAATTTAGGTTATTAGGTCAAGAATGGATTTTTCTGTATGGTGTGAAGTAGTTTGAAAAAAATTTTTTAAAACCATTTCTGGATAACCAGTTGCATAGCAGGCTGTATGTTTACTATATAATGGTTTCGGTTTATTCCTCTACTTTTGAAGTCCCTTGCCGCTCAGCATTAAGATTGTATAATAACAAAGCAAAACAAAGTATCAACCCCACAGTTTTATTTGTAAAGAACAAAGCATGAAAAGTCATATTTAAATGTACTCCAAAACCTGAAAAACCCACGTCAGTTTCTCTGATATGTATGTTAAAGTGCTTGATATCACAATACTCTTTAAATCTTATATTATGTTCAGATGAGGAAAAAAAAATCCAGTTCTGATGCATTGTTAACAATACAAAGAAACACAATATAATTTAAATGCAGAAATGTTCATTTTTTAAAAAGATACACAGGGTACATTTATACAGGGTTCAAGTGTAACACAGAGAGTTTTTTCTATGTTTAACACCCTCATTTGATTGACAACAGAACTCCTTACCATACCTCTCTACTGTCAACAAGATTTGGTTTGGATTAGACCGGAGCCACATACATATACATTCAGGAAAATGGATGAAGTGAGATTCTCTCCTACCATAACCCAAGGATGCCCTGGGTTCCTTCAAATGAGGAGAATCTTTTTGATACATATATTTTCTCACTCTGGTGTCAACTGCTCAATGTGATACATTTCTGGAGCTAAGCTTTACTCTGTCCTTGAGAGGATGATCAGCTCAAGGAAGATCTGGGAGTAGGAGTTTCTTGGATTCCTCCGATCACATCATCAGCACTCTCTTCAAAAAGGCTTGGAAATCCAAGAGATTTATCAATGTGTTTTAATAGGAATAAGGGACCTAGAAGCTTATTATTTGTTTCCATCTCCTTATAAGCTAAATGGTGGTGTAACAAACACTTATGTAAGGAACAGGGAGGGGCTTCAAAAGAAACTGATGACTTTGGGAACAGGATTCACTTTTATAAAAGTAGAGAGGAGCTCGAGACCATTCTCAATGAAGGTGTGTTAATACTGAAATATAAATAGCTAAGGTTCAGATTGTCCTTTCAACATAGTGAAAAGGATAGCTTCTGCAAACCTCACAGAGAAAATACTCACAATTCTCAACATGAAAATCTACTGAAAGATCATAAATCTTAGCAGAAGGAAGATATTTCAATTAAGCGCTATACTCTCAATGCTGTCAAATAAATACTTCCCTGGGGATCTGAGGTCCTCGTCTGTGGCCTCATGTTTCAAAATATCTTAGAGGTGTCAACATAGACTACACATAAACTGTTAAGTATAGTCTCTACCCCTCTTTCACTTAAATTTACATACCACAGTGCTTTATTTCAAAAAAAGGAAAAACAAGCAATTCAGTATTTCCCCTGTATCATTCACGTAGTGTGACAGTTCATTACAATTATTTTTTAAAAACGCAGGTTAAAGTAAATACCACAGAGTCACAAAGGTTCAAAAACGTGTGAGAGATTTAAAATAAATTTTAGAGGCAACTGCAAACTTTTGCACATTTCAGGTTTCTTATATCAAATTCTTGATCCCAGTGGGAAAGAGGACGAACTTTTGTTCCCTGTAGGCCAACCAGAACCCCACTTTATGCCACTCCACACTGAGCCTCGGTCATCTTTAAGGTGCTCGTGAGCCCCCAACCAGGGCACTGCTTTCCAGTGTCACACATAATATACCAACAACAGTGTGCCACCTTCGGAAAGCTTCCCATTAGGAGGTTTGGGACATTTGGAAAACACTTCGAAATCAGATGTTTCAAGAGGTAACATTTTTGGCAATTATTTCATTTCATTATTATACTAATTCAAAAAATTAATATAGCAAAAAGGATACCTCTAACTGGGTACGGTCCTTCCAAAAGTCAGCTATATACACTTATTCTGATAAGGGTTCTGCTACCGTCCTGTTCAAAATATCCTGGTATTGGCTTAGAGACAGTGATAAGCCACATAAGAACAAAGTCTTATTTCTTCAGAGTTGTTTCTTTTGTGACCTCAAACTCTGCATAAGCATCCTTTTTATTCATTAGCTTGGATCCTAAGGACTTTTTGTTTCCAAATATGAAATTTCTTCTGAAAGCCTGAGATTTACCATAACTGGCAATATTCAGAAGAATGGGCTGTAAGCCATTCAAGCAGCTCACAAGGAGGTCCCCACCTGTTTGGAGCCCTGGCTGTATCACTGGAATAAGTATATGGGCTTCCAAGGGGACCAATTTAAAGGGCCCAGCATTCTAGAGGATGTGTCAATTCTGGTGTGACTATTTCTTTTGAAATTGGTCATTTCCACTGTTATGGTCATACTACACAAAGTGGGATAAGGCTTTAGGTATAACTTTTTTGGGGGTACTACTTTTTAATGTAATGTTTTTATTCACAGGCCCCAAATCCAATTTTGCTCCCAGTTTTTATAACAGCTATAATTCTCAACCACTTGAGAACAATCTGTTAAAATGAATGTTAATTCTTATAAATGACTATTATAAATGAATATTAACACGTATTTACTAGCTGTTTGGGTGGATCCAGGGGTAGAAAGACTATTAACATGAATGCCTCTGAGCTTTGGTGTAATAAAAGACATGAGTTCTAGACTCTTGCGTTGTCACTGATCAGCTGTGGGGCTAAGTATTTAACCTCTCTGATCCTCAAGTGTACCCATCTATAAAATGATGACTCAATGCTAGCATGCTAACCTAGGTCATCTCTCAGCTGCCCAGAGTGTGCCAGAAATACGGCCTTATGAGAAAAGTAGTAAGAATAAAACTCTCCACTGATCATTCTATGGTTTCTGATGACTGCAACACAAGAACCCTGTGGGAAATAGGTCTGGATGCCTCCCATGACAGACTTTCCACGTCCCTGGAAGAGCTACACCAATGCAGATACCCTTTAGCCCCAGGAGAACAAATCTCCAGTCTACCCAGGTCACCCAGAATCATCTTCTTAAACCCTTTCCATGGGTTTCTAAAGGCTGCCTTCAACTCCCACACTGCTCTGCAAGTACTAAGTTACATATTAAAAGGGGATGCGCCTTGGTTACCCCGGGCCGAATACAGTGTTTGATAAAGGGAGTGAGGCACTTGTTTCATTACCTTCTTCCTCGAGGAAATAAGGGAAACAACACTGCTGGCTAAAGCCCAGGACCCTCAAGTTTGTACAAAGGTCCTGAGAGGCCATGGCTTTGCTTCTCAGCCACAACTGGGAATAAAACCCAGAGCTCTGCTGAGGCAATTTCACTGCTAACAACGTGTGAATGCCTAATTAGTTACAGGACCTGCCATAAATGAAGACTTAAGGTAATGAGCTAACACCACATTTATTTAACTTCCTTATAAAATACCAAGCTGGAAAGTTACAATGTTTGGTCTTTCAAAACTGTTGCCTCTTGTTCTGCTTCCATTTTTGCCATCTATGCTTTCCTAGCTGTTACCTTCTCTGGGCCAGTTGTTTTATATTATTACCCCTTCTTAAAAAGGAACACAAAACTTGCCCTGAAACACCCAGAAAGGTTCATTCTTTCTCTTTCCCAGTTATTTGCATTATCATGGTCAACAAATACTTTCACAAAAACATTCCAAGCTGCACAGAGCCCTCCTCCTTCTTAGACATTCCTTCCATTTCCTGAGAGGGGGATGGGCTCAGGAAGGGGGGCTGCTGGAACCTAACAAAGACAGGGTTGGAGATTATCCTGGAGGTAAGGAACTGCTGCAGGGTTTAGATGGCCAAATTAGCAGTCCAGAATCAAACTGCCAATTGCAGTTCTTATAACTAGGAGATCAACACTTTGAAATTCACATCTCTTCAAAGTACCTCACATAACAAGAATAAAAATGCCAAGAATGAAGCTAGTCTAGGCTAATCTTTCCAAAGTGTAAAGAAGTTATAATCCTACAATTTAACATACTTCTCAGGGCTTTGTGTTCTCTTTCCAGTTCAGCCAAGCTCCTGGGGTCCAGTATTTAAAATATTTGAATTGTATCATTATCTTGTGCCGGCGGAAAATTTTTTCCAAAAGACTGGAAAAATGACTCAATTCAAATGTATGAAACCATGTGTAACTTAAAAATAGAAGTGAGGACTATCACATACAGTAGGTAAAGCTGTTTACATTCACAATACAAAGGATTGGACTCGCCAGGATGGATGGCGATGACATAACAATGCATTCTGGGTTCCTTTGTGATACCTGGAGGGAAAAAAAAAAGCCCAACTGGGTTGCACTGTAATTACATGTTTACTGGCTTCTTCCTGGCTAGCACCACTCTTCCCCTCCCCAACTCCCAATGCGGTTGAGCTACTTATTTTAAATCACAGGAATATTCAATCTAAGAAAAGTATCTTATTAGAGTAATATAATTTCTTAAAGAAGATAGCATATTTACACACATCTAACACATGAAAATACTCTATTTTATACTAAATTCCAGGTTCAAATGAACTACAATAAAGCATTTTGCCTTGTCTGCAGTGTGAGGATTATTCAGATTGGGGAATACTGCGTGATGCCCCTGCAGTGACTCACTACCTTGTCAGACAAGTCCAAATCAGTCCCCATAGTTGGGGAAGGTTCAGGAACAAGGGGTCTGGACTGAGAGTTTCTAGTCATTTGGGTTACACATCCACTCCTTTGATGAGTGATCCTTCCAAGACTATGGTGAAGTCCTGAATGGTCTGCAGAATGCGGATGAGAGAGTTGACAGTCATGCGGTCTCGCAGGAGGGCACTTTCCTCGTACATTCGGGTAATGGCAGGACACTCAGCCAAGAGTGGGATCCACTGTGGGAGCAGGCGATCCCTACAGATTCAAAGAAAAAGAAGTCCTGAGCCCTGCTGACCTTGCTGCAGAACAACACACATATGAAAGATTTCAATGGGAAGGAGTAGGGCTGGAGGGAGCAAAATCTAGGCAAGTTCTGAGGTCAGCAGAGAGGAAACCAAAGTCAAGAATTTGGAAATTGCTGGTTAAATGTCATTTTGTGTTTCTTTTTTACTAGGGTGATACTCAGACATCTGTGGCAAGGTATGCCAAAATATATTGACTCTTTGGGAAGAAAGACTGACTACATTAAACAGTTGGGATTAGCATTTAAAAAAAACTGACACAACGTAACAAGGAACAAAATCAAAGCAGAAAAATACTAAGTAGATTTTACAAACCAAAATAGGGGTTGCACTGGTCTAATAAGTCAGATCAGTAAAGAGATAAAAGAAGATAAGGATCATGTTCAAAAGGAATTTTATTTTTAATTTTTTAAAAATATTTTATTTATTTGAGAAAGTACACAAGTGAGCATGAGTGGGCAGGCGGAAAGCGGGGAGAGGCAGAGGGAGAGGGAGCAGCAGATTCCCAGTTGAGCAGGGAGCCCAATATGGGGATCCATCCTAGTACCCTGGGATCATGAGCCGAAGGCAGATGTTTAACCATCTGAGACACCCAGGCGTCCCTCCAAAGAAATTATATTATATTTCTTCCTTTCCTTTCCCTTTCCTTTCTTTCTTCTTTTTTTTTCCTCCCTTCCTCCCTCCCTTCCTTCCTTCCTTTCTTTCTCTCACGAGAGACACAGAGAGAAGCAGAGACATAGGCAGAGGGAGAAGCAGGTTCCCTGTGGGAAGCCTGACACAGGACTTGATCCTGGACCCAGGATCACGCCCTGGTAGAAGGCAGACCCTCAACCACTGAGCTACCCAGGCGCCCCTCAAAAGGAATTTTAAAAGCATAGCTGAAATTGGCCCCTTTTATTATGAAGAAATACAGAACTTAGTTCTGTAAACCAGTTGTTCCAGGAGGATAACATCTCAACCTCTGGTGTGTCTTGACGTTAATTATCTGTCACTAAGTATCTAAGACATCTTTACTGAGCATCTCTCAATATGCCTTTCCCCTTCCCCCTCCCCTTTTTAAAAGTTTATTTTTTGTATAGTCTCTACACCCAACGTGGGGCTCGAACTCATGACCCTGAGTTTAAAAGTCACATACTCTTCTGACTAAGCCAGCCAGGCACCTTACAACATGCCTTTCATGACAAGAGCAGCCATAACCAGGCCATCCTGAATCTCTTGTTGGGGCTCTAGGGCTGCAGAAAGAAACAAACACACAAAGATAACTTAATCTTTTTCTTGGGGTGCCTGGGTGGCTCAGTCTGTTAAACGTCTGGCTCTTGATTTTGGCTTAGGTCGTGATCTCAGGGTTGAGATCGAGTCCCGTGCCAGGTTCCACACTCAGCTGGTAGTCTGCTTGAGATTCTCTTTCTCCCTTGCCCTCTGCCCCTCTCTTGTACTTTCTGTCTCCAAATAGATAAATCAATCTTAAAAAAAATAGATATAAAACAAGCTTATTCTAAAGGTCTATGTGTTTCATTTCTTACAACTGTGATAGTTGTTTTAAAATGAATGGAATTTACAGCTCCTGTGCATCATTTTCAAAAAATAAATGGATAGGAAATTGTCTTAAAGAGAAGACTTTATATAGTTAAGAATTATTTATATAGTACAAATTCTAGAATATTACTAAATTTATTTATTTTTAAAAAGATTTTATTTATTTATTTATTCGAGAGAGAGAGAGAGAGAGAGAGAGAGAGAGAGAGAGAGAGGCAGAGACCCAAGCAGAGGAAGAAACAGGCTCCATGCAGGGAGCCTGATGTGGGACTTGATCCTTGGTCTCCAGGATCAGGCCCTGGGCTGAAGGTGGCGCTAAACAGCTGAGCCACCCGGGGCTGCCCTAGAATGTTATTAAATTTAAAGCAACATGGTGGTATACTGTAAATATATATGTATCTGCTGGTGTGTCAAATTCCTTACCAAACTACCTACTGCCTATCTACCTACCTTTGGAGCCAGTGTAGTAGAATGGTTCAGAGTCCTCGAATGAGACTAGGTATAAATCTTGGCCTTGCCTCTTTCTGGCTGTATAACCTTGGGAAAGTTTGTTAACTTAGCTGTGCCTCAACTATTTTCTGTGTTCTCATCTACACAACGAGGTTACCAGTTGCTACTTCAGGTAGTGTGGTAGTGAAGTGATAGGAGGATTAAATGAGAGAATGAACGTAACACATTTAGCAAAGGGCCAGCACATAGCAAGGACCCAATAAACAGTAGTGTCATAATAAAACTAGGAATGAAAGAAGCCCACGGGAGAGCTTTGGAAGGAGCATGATACACCCTTCTAGATTCTTGTCCAACACATAACAAAGATAGGGAAAGTCGAATTGGCTTTATACCGTGTTCCAAGGCAAACTAAAATCTGGAATTTGCCGTCCTTTCCAATGTTCCTGGGTGCAGTATTAATAGCATTTACATAGTGGCAGAAGGTCTTGCAGGATGATTTCTGAATAAGGACATCATCTTCATTGTCTAGAATCTGGTCAGTGGTTTCAAAATAAGCAACCGCTTTCTCTGGGGAAGGAAGTCAGAATGATATCACAATACACATTAATACTTCATGAACAGAAAGAGTAATCACTTAGTTTATTTTGGAAATAGTAATGATGCTTTGCATTCAGAAACCAAAATCATTACTTTATCATTGGTTTCACAAGGAATTATAGAGATCCATGTTTCCCAGTGGAACAATATGCTCCCAGGAGTTTATTTTCTAATCTAGACCACATTCCAAAAGGATAGAAAGTTTACTCTCCTTAGAATACCTTCAAGCAATGGAAATTGCCAAAAAAGAAAAAAAATGGACTCCTCTATCAAGAATCTTTGAAGAGTAACCAGCCAATACATAGTAGCCATTAAGATGGTGCCCTCTGTTGTGGTTATAGAATGGCTAATACTTTGCAACAAAATCCTTGAAATGGAACTGATTATTGGGGGATGGGGGTGACTGGGTGACGGGCACTGAGGTGGGCACTTGACGGGATGAGCACTGGGTGTTATTCTATATGTTGGCAAATTGAACACCAATAAAAAAATAAATTTATAAAAAACAAAAAACAAAGAAATGGAACTGATTAGGAAATCTGAGGAAGAGATATGTATGCATATCAGAAACAGGAGCAGTAAGATTCTAGGCATTCCAAAAGAAAAAAAAAATCACTCCTGGAGGCCTAGCTCTGTCAACCTTTTTTTTGGTCTAAAAATTCTAAGTTGGATAAAATCAGCTACTTCATCTAGACCATATTTACAAGACACAAAATGATTAATCACCCCTCTAAAAAAACTGGGAATTCTAGAAGAACCGCATACCAAAATAAAGATTACAAAGCTTATTTAGCATGCTGGAGCAGCACACTCCAAAACAGAACTTTGTGTGATGAATGAAATGTTCTATAACTGCAAGGTTCAATTTAATAGCTTCCAGGTAAGGCAGGTGTGACTAAAGAAGTGAATTTTAAATTTAATTTAAATTAAATCAGTTTAAATTTAAATAGCCACATGTAGCTAGTGGTTACCATACTGAACAGTATTAAGCTAGAATAATCCTTCTAAAACCCAAGTTATATTATGTCACTCACTCCTGACTCAAAGCCTTCTAATGATTTCCTATTTCAATCATGATAAAGACCAAAGTCCTTCCAACGGCCTAGAAATTCCTCAAGCACCTGGCTCTGGCAGTAAACAGCCTTCTCTCCCAATATCCTCTAACTCTGTCTCCCTCACTCTGCCCCAGTCACACTAGTCTTGCTATTCCGTGAAAAGGCCAAGCACACTTTCACCTTGGGACCTCTGCCCTAGCAGTTCTCCCAGTCTGCAGTGCTCTTCTCTGATATCCACATGGCTTGATTCCTCAATTCCCTAAAAATCTGTGTTCAAATGTCACCTTGTCCACAAAGCATGTAACTGCCCCACTTAAGAGCACTCTCCACTCCATGTCCTGTCACTCTGCTCTATTTTTTTTCAGATCAACCATCGCCTTCTAACATACTAGATGAATCACATACTTGTTGTGTCTTTGTGTATTGTCTGGGTTCCTGCCCCCACTAGAATATAAGTTTGTCAACCATAGGAATTTCTGTGTTTTACTTATCTCTAGATGTGTTATCTTTCTTTTTAAAGTAAGCTCTATACTCAGTGTAGGGCTTGAACTCATGACCCCGAGATTAAGAGTCCCATGCTCTACCAACTGAGCCAGCCAGGTGCCCCCTGATGTATATCTCGAGCATCCAGAATAGTGTCTGGAATATTATGGACACTATAAATACTTGCTGACTGAATGAAAAGCTAATTTGATATTTATTTCAAAAAATGTACTCCATTGTCACTAACCTTTATTTGCTTTAACTCCTGGATCTTTGAGTTTTCTAAGAAACGTTTCAGTGACCTTATAACAACACACATCTGCTTTGATTTACCTATGAAGTCCCAGATGAAGACATTCTTGTGAAAGATGCGGGCAGATTTGAACCCATGATGGAAGACTTGTTCAAGTGCCACAACCAGTCCATTTTCTCCACACAGCAACACCGTGAGGCTTCCTCTCTGTAAAGCGAAATATGCAGTGCCAAAGAATAATCTGCTGCATTTATGTTTAAGAAGACACTAGAGAAACAGGTGCTGAGTGAGGGCAGCGATGAAGCATGTTTTGTAGCTATTACAAAGCTTACAAATAAAAATTAACATGCCCTCTCTACTGCCTTATGTATTATGTATAAAAATGGCTTTAAAATCCTTTATATTAAGTGTTATAGACTATCATACCTCTTTTTCAGGTTTGTGAAAATGTTTCACAATATTGTTCACAGCTTCTCCAATTCCTTCTTGGATCTGTCCAGCATTGGGTTCTGAAAAAATAATGAACAGTGGCTGAATTCTCATGCAAGGGAAATAAACCAAAGTACTATGGGGTATCACCTGTGTCCACCCATGCAGGAAACACTTCACCATAGCAGGCTGGCTTGTCAGGGGCTTGTCTGTGAAACTTGCCTCAGGCCAGTTCGGCCAAGTGGGAGGCATCTTGGCACAAAGGAAAAGAATCCAAGAGACCCTTAGATTCAAATCCCAATCTTGCCACTTGCAACCTATAACTTTGGTTAAATGTCTAACTTCTTCTGAGTCTGAATTGCCTTAACCTAAAATAGGGAAAATATACATCTCATGTGTCACTGGATAAAGTGAATGAGATATGACAGATGTCAATCCCTGGCATGGTACCTGTCACACAATGCTAGCAAGCCCCTGGATCTGAGGAGTGAGATGGGAAAGACCCATAGCATCATTCCTTAGGTATCTCCTTAGCCTATCTACCTGAGTCCCTTATTGGGCAAAGAAAGGTTTGTGAAGCTCTGAATGGCTAATCTGAAATCTGTGGGGTTTTTTTAAGATTTTATTTATTTATTCATGAGACCCACAGAGAGTGAGAGACACAGACACAGGCAGAGGGAGAAGCAGGCTCCATGCAGGGAGCCTGATGCGAGACTCGATCCCAGGTCTCCAGGATCACAACCTGGGGTGAAGGTGGCGCTAAACCACTGAGCCACCCGGGCTACCCTGAAATCTGTGTTTTTGCTATTGTGCTTAAAGTAAAGGGAAGGGGTGCTTGGTTGGCTCAGTTGGTTAAGTGTCCGCCTTCAGACAGGTCATAATCCAAGAATCCCAGGATCGAGCTCCACATTGGGCTCCCTGCTTGGCAGGGGAGTCTGCTTCTCTCTCTATCCCACCCCCTGCTCATGTTCTCTCACTTTCTTTCTCTCTCAAATAAATAATTAAAATCTTTAAAAAACAATAAAATAAAGGGAAGAGGACAGCCAGGTATACTGAGGCACCTAAAGCCCAGAACTGCTTCCCTTTCTGGCTACTCAGTCCATCTGGGCACTGCTTCATTTGCTCTGCCTGCACCACTCTCAGGCCCTGTTCTTTTTTTTTTTTTTTTTAAGATTTATTTATTCATGAGAGACACAGACTGAGAGAGGGGCAGAGACATAGGCAGAGGGAGAAGCAGGCTCCCTGCAGGGAGCCCGGTGTGGGGCTCGATCCTGGATCCCGGGGTCACGAGCTGAGCAGAAGGCAGGTGCCCAACCGCTGAGCCACCCAGGCATCCCTCAGGCCCTGTTCTTGAGGGAGGTGTGCTGGGCTGCTTGAATGGGACCTAAATTGCCTTTGCCTCCCTAACCCCAAGAAGAAGAAAAAGGATTTTAGGGACAAAGTAGGTAACAAGAGAAAAATTAATCACCACAAGAAATTATCAAATATTTAACTACTAAATTTAATACATGTCATACCATAAAGGACAAGCTACACATTCTAGTGTTTAAGAATCTTTGTCATACTGCTGGAGGATTTCTCACATAAAACACTCTTCAGGTAAAGCTCAAGTTAAGTTTTTTCTATACCAATAACAATTGAAGGACTGATACTGTGGCCTCTTCAGCTGCTATTTTTTTTTCCTTTTTCTGAATATATATATTTTTAATTTTTTAAAGTAATCTCTTTGCACAGGATGGAGCTTAAACTCATGACCCCATGATCAAGAATCATATATGATCTGACTAAGCCAGTCAGGTGTCCCTGTTTCTCTTTTAAACATGCAAATCTATTTTGAAAACTTTTATTCACTCTAAAACAGCACTGTACTAATTAGTATTTTATTGTATTTTATTTGTTTTTAAAGATTTCATTTTTTAAATTAATCCCTACACCCAACATGGGGCTCAAACTTACAACCCCAAGATCAAGGTCTTATGCTCTACTGACTGAGCCAGCCAGGTGCCTCTAATCAATAGTATTTTAAAACTCATTTATTTAAAAATTTCTACTCATTGGAGGCACCTGGGTGGCTTAGTGAGTTACACGTCTGCCTTCGACTTGGGTCATAATCTCTGGGTCCTAGGATCCGGCCCCACATCGGGCTCCCTGCTTGGCCAGGAGTCTGTTTCTCTCTCTGCCCTCCCCCTGATAAATTCTATCTGCCCCCTCAGATAAATTAATAGAATCTTAAAAAAAAAAAAAAAGAATTTTCTACTTATTGAGTAAGGAAAGGAAATATGACCAAAAGTGGGAGATAAGGCCTCTCAAAACAGTAATGTCCCACTTAAACTGGGACTGTTTTAGAAGTTGTAATAATTTGGATGGACTGGGTTGAAATCTCTCAACTCACTCTTTTAAGTAAATTTAGGATTACATACAATAAATTCACCAATTTTAAGTGCAATTTGATGAACTTTGATAGAAGTATAGTCATGCAAGCACCACAATCATAATGTAGAAAATTTCCACCAACCCCAAAAAACTCCCCATGCTCCTTTTTAGTCAATCCTCTTCCCTAACTCTCAACTCCTGGCAACTGCTGCTCATGCTTTCTATCATTATTATATTGCCTTTTCTAGAATTTAGTGTAAATGGAACTGTATAGCACCTTGTTCTTTGTGTCTGTTCTCTTTCACATACAGTAATGCTTCTGAGATTCACCCATGTGTTGTTAGATGTATCAACAGTTTGTTCATTTTTATATGTTGCAGAGTGGCATGCCACTGAGTAGATACAGCACACTCTGCTTATCCACCATTCCCCAGCTGGTGGATACTGGGCTGTTTCCATTTTTGACTAGTATGAATGAAGCTCCTATGAACACTGGACTACAAATCTTAGTGTAGCTACATGTATTAATTTCTCTTGAGTAAATGTTTAGGAGTGGGATTCTGTGTCAAGTGTATGCTATGGGTCCGCATGTCTTTATAGAAACTGCCAGACTATTGTTTCCTCTTGCATTCCCACTAGCAATGTCTGAGCATTCTGCTGCTCTCCATCCTTACCAGTATTTGGTGTTACCAGTCTTTGTAATTTTAGTTTTTCTAGTTAGTGTGTGGTGTCAAGTTTACTTTTGAAGGCAACAAGGAATTAGGAATCAGGGGAATAATTGGAGAAAGAATAGGGGGGATTTTTTAGACTCTATCATTCTAATAGTTAATATATCACCATATGCTAATATATGGATAGGGACAGAAAACACCCAAGGAAACCTCTTTGTTGGTAAACTAAGGAACTCTCAGGTACTGTTGTTATTCTACCTATGGCTTTACTGTCCATGGCTGAAATAAAACCACTTCACTGATGAACTTCTATAATTTTTCACTAAATCCTACTTGCCTGTTTTAGTTTTCTGTGGCTCCTGTAATAGATTACCACCAATGTGTTGTCTTTTTTTTTATTATTTTTTTAAATTTATTTATGATAGTCACAGAGAGAGAGAGAGAGAGAGAGAGGCAGAGACACAGGCAGAGGGAGAAGCAGGCTCCATGCACCGGGAGCCCGACGTGGGATTCGATCCCGGATCTCCAGGATCGCGCCCTGGGCCAAAGGCAGGCGCCAAACCACTGCGCCACCCAGGGATCCCACCAATGTGTTGTCTTAAAACAACAGAAATCTATTCTGTCATAGTCCTGGAGTGCCACAAGTCAGAAATTATCACCAGGCAGAAATCAAGGCAGGGCCACACTCCCTCTGCAGGCTTCATAGAAGAACACGCTCCCCACCTCTTTAAGCTTCTGGTGGCTGCTGGCATTCCCTGGCTGGTGGTTGAATCCCTCCAATTTCGGCCTCCCTAAGAATATGTATGACTGCATTTAGGGCCCACCTACACAATCCAGGATAATCTCCCCATCCCAAGGCCCTTAACTTAATCACATTTACAAAGATCTTTTTTCGAAATAAAGTAACATTTACTGATTTTGGGGATTAGGATCTAATACCCTTGGGAGACATTATTCACCCTACTAATGCCCACATAAGCATAAATTGGAAGTTTATGGTAGTATTACAAATGGCATATGTGGGCAGCCCAGGTGGCTCAGCGGTTTAGTGCTGCTTTCTGCCCAGGGTATGATCCTGGAGACCCAGAATCAAGTCCCACGTCGGGCTCCCTGCATGGAGCGCCAAACCACTGCGCCACCAGGGCTACCCAAGTCACTCCTTTATAGTATTTTATTACTTCTGTAGGAAGATAGGGGTGGGGAGAGGAATTTTTAGATTTTCTCTTAGAAAAAGGGGTTCTGAATAGCTATATATAGCTCTTTGGGAGTATTGTAATATGAACTGTCTTTATTCCTTAAGGTTTTTGTTTTTAAAGTACAATCTACTGTACAAGGTGGGACTTGAACTTACAACCCCAAGATCAAGAGTTGCATGCTTTACTGACTGAGCCAGCCAGGAGCCCTTCCTCCTTTAGGTTTCAGTCAAAATATTACTTATCCACATTTTCATAGCTTAATCAAAACAGCATACAGTTTTTATTTGATTTTATTTTTTATTTAAAAGTTATGATTTTTGGGCAGCCCCCGTGGCGCAGCGGTTTAGCGCCGCCTGCAGCCCAGCGCGTGATCCTGGAGACCCCGATCGAGTCCCACGTCAGGCTCTCTGTATGGTGCCTGCTTCTCCCTCTGCCTGTGTCTCTGCCTCTCTCTCTGTCTCTATGAATAAATAGATAATAAAATCTTAAAAAACAAAACAAAACAAAACAAATTAAAAGTTGTGATTTTTTAAAAGATGTTATTTATTTATTCATGAGACACACACAGAGAGAGGCAGAGACACGGGCAGAGGGAAAAGCAGGCTCCACGCAGGGAGCCCAATGTGGGATTGGATCCCAGGACCCTAGATCACACCCTGAGCCAAAGGCAGATGCTCAACCACTGAGCCACCCAGGTATCCCTTATTTGATTTTAAAAATCTAAATTCTTCAGGCTTTTTTTCAGAGAGGGGATTGTGAATCTTTTCTTTTAAAAAATATTTTATTTAAATTCAATTTGCCAACATATAACACCTAGTGCTCATCTCATCAAGTGCCCTCCTTAGAATTCTTCAGGCTTTTAATTATTTAATACTTGCCCCATTTTTTCCCATTCCTCTCTCCTCCCTTTTCTTTTAAATATTTTATTTATTCATGAGAGACAGAGAGAGAGAGAGAGAGAGAGAGAGAGAGAGAGAGAGAGAGAGAGGCAGAGACACAGGTAGAGGCAGAAGCAGGCTCCATGCAGGAAGCCCGACGTGGGACTGGATCCTGGAACAGGGCTCACGCCTTGCGCCAAAGGCAGACGTTCAACCACTGAGCCATTCAGGAGTCCCTCTGGAGTCCTTCTCCCTCCCTTTTTCAAACTGTTTGCTCAAATTAATTTTCCTTAGCTTTCTTTTCTTTTTCTTTTTTTTAGCTTTCTTCTTTTTAATCTATCTTACTGCGATTCATTAATGCAACAGTTTCCTGTGAAATGGCTGCATGATGCCTGCAACATCTGAGGTACACTGAAAATTTAACAGTAATGATGGTACTTACTAGTAGTTTTTCCTGTCAGTGAAGTGATGCTCAGTCTCCGAGCTGAGGTGGGGGATTTCTGCTGGGGTGGAGTCCGACACTGCTTTACCAGGTCCTCATCTGCCACTGAGGTCATTAGTTCCCCAATAAGGATCCTCTCCAGGCTTCCATCATCAACGCCTTTCCCCAGCCACCGCCCACATGGGAACCTTGTGGGTCAGAAAAACAACTCCTCCATCACCAACCAGTATTTTACTAGTTTTAGTCCCAATTTTTAAAATATTTTATTTATTTATAAGAGAGAGAGAGAGAGAGAGAGAGAGAGGCAGAGACACAGGCAGAGGGAGAAGCAGGCTCCATGTAGGGAGCCAGATGTGGGACTCGATCCCGGGTCTCCAGGATCACGCCCTGGGCTGAAGGTGGCACTAAACCGCTGAGCCACCCAAGGTTGTCCTAGTCAGAATTTTTTAAATGACACCATGGATGAAGCCCATCATTTTAGTGCCTATGGGTTGTTTTCTAAATTTTAATTTTACAATTTCAGACACACAGAAAAGTAGAGAGTATTTTATAAGACATTCATATTCTTATCACCTGACTTAATGTTTTGCCATATGCTTTGTTTTTATTTTGTACTGAAGTATTTTATTTCTTTTTTAAAGACTTTATTTTTTGAGAGAGAGAGCACAAGCAGCCTGAGGGGCATAAGGGGAAGCAGGCTCTCTGCCAAGCAGGGAGCCCAATGCAGGGCTCGATCTTGGGACTCCTGGATCATGACACAACCTAAGGGCAGTGGCCCAACTGACGAGCCACCCAGGTGTCCCATATGTTCAAACATTTAAAGTCCACTCCACACATCAGGGTATTTCACCCCTAAAGCCACTTCAGTATGAATCTCTGAAAAATACATTCTTATACAGCCAGAAATTGTTATTACATTCTGCCAAATTAAAATGACTCAATATTTTCTATATCTAACCTATATTAAAATTCTGTGGTTAGTTCTTCTGACAAGAATATTTTCAAACTAGAAGTTAATGTGGGAGTTGAGTTACAGGAGAAAACAGAGTATTTCCAAAGAGGAGTGCCAGCTAGTAGAGTCCAAAAGACCCTTTCTTCTTACTTAAATTAGTAACCTCAAGCTTCCCCTCTCCCCCCTTTTTAAATCAGAGTTATATCAATCTTTCTTTTCCAACACTTGTGGACTAGGCATTCAGAGCAAATACAATCAATTTTTTGAAAGTTTTTTTGGGGCAATTTTGTATTACATAAAAAGTAAAACTAAACAACTCCAAAACCTAAACTAAAATTATGAGGGCAGTGAGAAAGCTTTAGAAAGAAAACAATTCTTTTTTTAAAGTTTATTATTATTTTTTTTAGTAATCTTTTTTTTTTCTTCTTTATTTATGATAGTCACACACACACACACACACAGAGGCAGAGACACAGGCAGAGGGAGAAGCAGGCTCCATGCACCAGGAGCCCGATGTGGGATTTATCCCGGGTCTCCAGGATTGCGCCCTGGGCAAAAGGCAGGCGCCAAACCGCTGCGCCAGCCAGGGATCCCCTTTTTTAGTAATCTCTACACCCAACAGGGGGCTGAAACTCACGACCCTGAGATCGAGTCACACATTCTTCTGACTGAACCAGCCAGGCACCTCAGAAATAAAACAATTCTTCAACCTTTTCTTGTCTAAAGTGTCTCAAAGAAAGAATTCTGAGTTCTCAAGGACATTTACTTACCTGTATGTATGTCCTGTGATCTCATTTCTGACCATGACACAATCCACTAGCCATTTGGCTAACAGTCCTGAGTTATCGTGACCAATCTGAACGGTGGTCAGCTTCCCCAAGTTCTGGCACTGTAGGGACAGGACCAGAAGTTATTCAGAGCCTGATTCCACATCCACTACCTTTTAGCTTTAGTCGTACATTTTGGTTCCATATAATTTAATAATTGCAGAGGACCATCCTGCATAATGTGCTCTTCTTTCCACTAGAGAGATATATTCACATCTAATATATCCCATCTAATGAGACAAGTAGGACACATAGGGACATTATCAAATGAGAAGACTGTACAAGGTGCTAGACTAGAGATGTAAATAAATACTAGAAAAACAATGGAAAAGGAAAAATTATTTCTAACTGGGGAACCCAGACTATGTGCCTTTAGGATGAGAAGAATTCCAAGAAGTGGCAAAAGAATGCTATTTAGATTCAGTTACAGTGAGGTCAGGAAAACGACTACAGATATTAAAAAAAAAAAAAAATTACTGACATGGCTATTTTTCTGTTTCTAATAAAATGCCAAGGCAGAACTGACCTTAAACCTCATCTACGAGAAGTCTTGAAGCTATCATAAAAAAAAGTATAGTTATCAATGTTTCCTGGCTGTTGGTGGACAAGTACAAAAGAAAGCAATGATAATAGTTAAAAATAAATGTCAATTAAATTCTGACTTTATTTTTTAAAAATATTTTACTTATTTATTCATGAGAGACACAAAGAGAGGCAGAGACACAGGCAGAGGGAGCAGCACGATGCAGGAGCCCGATGCAGGAGCCCGATGCAGGACTTGATATTCAGACTGGGATCATGTCCTGAGCTGAAGGCAGATGCTCAACCACTGAGCCAACCAGGAGTCCCAAATTCTGACTTTTATTTTTTTATTTTTTTAAGATTTTATTTATTTATTCATGATAGACACAGAGAGAGAGAGGCAGAGACATAGGCAGAGGGGAAAGCAGGCTGCATACAGGAAGCCTGATGTGGGACTCGATCCCAGGTCTCCAGGATCACACCCCAGGCTGCAGGCGGCGCTAAACCGCTGCGTCACCGGGGCTGCCCCCTGAATTCTGACTTTTAAATTCTGATAAAATATCACAAACCACCCAACTGACTATGTATGGTTGGGAACATCAGAGCTATGAGCTCTTAAAGCCCTTGACTTCTTCGTATCAAGGTGAGAAGACACAGCCATCCAGGTGAGGGAGGATGGAAATAGAATGATGGGACTTACAGAGTTAATGTTCCATGCTTGCTAGTCAAAGAGAAGTCAAGGATTTTAATCTTTTATATGCTAAAACAGGCTCCTGGGTGTGTTATGACTGAATGGAAACTGCTATTCCTAGACCCCCAAAGAACATGAGAACAGGACATTCAGTTAGTACTCCTTCCCTCCTGAAACAAGAGCAGGTGTTTGTCTTCTTCCTGCATGCCAGGATCAACACACATGTGGGTTCAAAGACAGGAGAATACTTTGCCAGGTGGGACCTGAAAACTGACTATAATATTATATACCTAAAATAGAGGTATTTTTGTAGAACCATGGGGTTTACAAGCCATAAGCATGGATGTCAGCTCTCCTGTCTTTTTGTCCTTTTGTGCAGGTTCAGGCAGGGAGCATTTTACAGTAAGGAAGAGAACCACTGTGGGAAAGGCATTTACTTGAATGTTCCCTAGCTGCCCACTTCTGTGCTAGGCACCAGCAATCATGAAATGGGACCTAGCAACGCCAAAAGTATTCCACTGCAAGTAGAAAAATAGAGCTTAATAATTAAAATTATAGCAATAAAAATACAAAACAAATTACTGTGTTTAAGACCACTTTAGTTGTATACTCACAAAAATTATCCTGCATGCTTGAGTACTCCTTTATATTATTTGATTTGAGGAAAAATTAAAAAGCAAAACTGGAATCCTTGTGTAGAAACTATGTATGATATTTTCTGCTAAGAAAAGTATTAGCTGAACCCACCTCAAAAGTCATTTCGAGGAGGTTTTTGGGAATCTGCATTACTCCTGTGTCTCCTAGCTCTCCTGATACACAGATCCAAGGGTTCGATGTGATGATCGCATTGCTCAGTTTTTTGATGGGGATGATCACTGACCTATATGGAATCACTGAAAGAACAATACTGAAGTTAATTAAATATTACAATAAAATACTCCTGATAATAAAGCAAGTATATATATTAATGACTTTGTTGCCTTTCACAGATAGTTTGCTCTTTATGATCTATCAATATGTACTTAAACAAAAAGCAGAGATCACCTCTTCCAGTCTAAAAAGATGAGATCCAGTTTAAAAACCACAAATCCCAATACTTGTGTTGGTTTCTGTACCATATATATATATATATCTCACCAGGTATGTATGGCATGCAGAGTCTCACCATGGTGATATGCATAACCTCTACATTTATAAAAAAAAAAACAATCTCAGGCACTAATACCAGAACTGACGGCTATACAGAATTTTCATTAACGTTTTAAATGTTGTTCTAAAATCATGTATACAAATGAACATGGTTATTGATATGGTTCATATGTAAAAGGGGGTGAATGACTTCTTGGGACAGTATCCCCTTGTTGCTAATTTTCTTGCACAATGTTTCAGAACGTTCCTATTCCAATTTTACAGCACAATACGCAAAGCCAAGAGTAGTAAAAACAATGCCATTCTGGACAAAACATAAAGTCTATAGACCACAATTTGGAAGGCTATTAAGGCCACTCAGGTACAAGAGGAGTCCTGGGGAAAGAAAGATGTGTGAAACCTTTTCCTTAGGGTCTTCAAAAGGCACACCACTAGATGTCACTGTCCTATCACTGTCTTTTGCTCAGAGTAGCAAGATAAAGTTAGAAACTGCACATTCCTTTCATCCTCTTTTAAAAATGGGGATGGCTCAAACACACTGGAGCATTTTTATCCCTCAGAGTCATACTTGTGTTTGTTTTTTTTTTAAAGCAGGGTAGAATCGATTTTTGTTGGTATCTTTGGGATTTCTGCTCATTTAGTCAGAAGAAGAGGTATTAGAAGCACTCCTTCAATGATCTACACATAGGATGATACATATCTATTGGACAAGGTGCCCAGATACAGCCTCAGAAAAATGAGATCATGGCTGAGTGCACTCTTAGATGAGGAAACTGAATGGGATAAATGGTTCATTTCCCTAATTTTACACAGACGACTTTCTTTATGTTGGGTGAATAACCTCCCTTTCGCCTTTTTATTTTGACCGAAGGAAAGGAAAATGTCAGAGGAAAGGCCGTACTTTCACGGTTTAGTAATCATCAGAATCAAATGGGTTTTGAAACTGAAAGCAGAAGAGGTTAGTGCAAGACTTTATTTTAGGTGCCAGAGGCTTCTCTCATTCCTTTCACTGAGAGGATTAGAAAAGCTACGAAAAAAAAAAAAAAGGTTTAAGGTCAACAGTTCTGTGGCTGCAAAGGGACCACAGATGCACAACAGTGATTACATAAAGTATAAAAGGACTAATATTATTAAATTTAAAATATTTCTTTCATAAAGATCTTAATTCCTTGAAGAGTTACTTATATGAAATCTACAGATATGAGTAGGATCTTAGGAGTCCTACCTACCTCTGCTATTTCTTCTGTTTTAAAACTGTACATAACATCTTAGCTTTTTTGTTTAAAGATGTATTATTTGGAAGGATTAGAGGGGGTAGAGGGAGAGAGAGAGAATCTCAAGCAGACTCCCCACTGAGTGGGGAGCTGGACATGGGGCTCAATCTCACAACCCTGAGATCACGACCTGAGCTGAAATCAAGAGTCAGGTGCTTAACCAACTATGCCACCCAGGTGCTCCTAACATCTTAGCTTCTTATACCAGCAGTAATGTATTAAACTGATTGATGGTTTAGGTACTAATGGATAGTTGACAGATATTACTGGTTGGCCCAATACCCCAGAGTTCAGCTCCATTTTTCCTTGTCTGCCTCTATCAGAGACTAGAAAGCCAAAACCTACAAAATTTTGGCCAGTGAAATATTATATTTAGTGGGATCTCTTAGAAAATCCTGTTTTTCTAGCACAAGTGCTGCTTTTTCCCCCTTGACATTCCTTCCTTCTTCCTGCTAGAAGATGGATTGAGAATAGCCATCCTGTGGCCATGACGTGATGAGCACTCACTGAGGACTGTGTAGGAAGAGAGGAACAAAGACCCTGGTTCCGTGAACATACTGTAGACTATCTTGAAACTTATTATATAAGAAATATGAAACTATCAATTTGTTTAAAGCACCATTTTCCAAGTTTCTGATTCTTGTAGCTAAACACAATTCCTAACTCATACAAGTAAAATTTCTCCAAAGTGGGGAAGGGGAGCCACTGAACATAATAATTAGTATTGGTGAACAGAATAAATGCCCTAATTTGATTTTCTTTTCTTTTTTTTTAAGATTTATTTATTTATGATAGACATAGAGAGAGAGAGAGAGAGAGAGAGAGAGAGAGAGAGGCAGAGACACAGGCAGAGACAGAAGCAGGCTCCATGCCGGGAGCCCGATGCGGGACTTGATCCCGGGACCCCAGGATCGCGCCCTGGGCCAAAGGCAGGCATTAAACAGCTGAGCCACCCAGGGATCCCCTTATTTTCTATCAAACACACATCTCCAGTCAGCATTTCCTCCCTCTACAGACCTACATTATTCAGTAAGGTCTTTCTGAATCATCCAAGTTTAATTATGTTCACAGTTCTATACATTTATTACTATTTGCTGATTTAAAAAATTTTATGTGTTTTATGTAAGATATTGGACCATTTAATAAAATATTCCTTCTTCTTCTTCTTTTTTTTAAAGTAAGCTTTAGGTCCAGCATGGGGCTTGAACTCATGACCTTGAGATCAAGAGTACCACTTGACTCCACTGACTGAGCCAGTCAGGTATCCCTAATCAACATTCCATTATTTATTTTATTTTATTTTTTATTTTATTATTTTATTTTATTTATTTTTTATTTATTCATAGAGACACAGAGAAAGAGAACAGCAGAGACCCAGGCAGAGGGAGAAGCAGGCTCCATGCAGGGAGCCCGACGTGGGACTCGATTCCGGGTCTCCAGGACCATGCCCTGGACTGAAGGTGGGGCTAAACCCCTGAGCCACCCGGGCTGCCCAACATTCCTTTTTAATATTCATTCCATTTCCTACTGGAGACTAGGCTTCCTGGGAAGCAGAGAGAGTCAGAAATCAGCATAAAGGATGTTGTTCCTGGGAAGACCATATGCCTGAGAGAGAAGTTGAGTTTGTTGCAGTCCCAGTGAAGTCCTCAGTTGATCCCAAGGTTAAGTTCTCAAAAGCGCTTGGCAGTCCTAGGATGCTGGCTCCCCTTGCTAGGAGGGATCATCTTGGGCAGGGGTTGGGGGTGGTGGATAGTTTGTTCCGGTGAGGCACTCCCCACAGGGGCTGACAGCTGATGGCTGCCTTCCCACAGCACTCCCAGCTGCTGGGGCACAACCTTCATTCCTAAATAGAGGTCTGGAGCCTGCCTCACTCACAGTGTCTATCTCACTGTACTATCATATATCTCACTTTTAAAAACATAAACTCTATTCCATTAGTTGCCTGAGCAACTCTTCACTTAGTAGCCAGTTCTCCAGACTTACTGATAGTGGTGAACACACTGGTGAAGCAGAAGTAGTCAACAGCATTGAGGGAAAGAAGATGGTAAAGAAACTGCTCTCTTTCTTCTTCACAACGTAGAAAAGCATAACGCTTATAAAGCTTCCTAGGAATGAGTACAAAATAATAGTATATTTTTCTTGCTTTTCATTATGTCTTGCACTAAAAACAAATACTTAGTAAAAGCCAAATACATTAATTTTACTTTTGGGACTCAGTCCTAAGAATATAATATGAAATATGGGCAAGGTTTACTCATAGATATCCACTAAAATGTTATTTGTAAATGGAAAAATATATCATGATACATGCATACGCTGGAATACTGTATGAGCATTAAAAATAAAGTTTAGGAAAAGTTTTAATAACAACAAAACTACTATTAAAAATAGTAATTTTTATTAAGCACTTACATTTAAGCACTTTCCAAGTGTTTTATAGTTATCCATACATTTAATTCTCATGATTACCCTATGAAGTATAAGTCTATTAGCATTTTCATTTTATAAATTAGGAAAACAGAGATACAAAAAAAAAGTTAAGTATCTTGTCCAAAGTCATTCAAATAGTAAATAACAAAGGCAGTATTTGAACAAAGGCATTCAGTCTTCAGAGCTTGAACTCTTATGATATAATGAAATGTTTATAATACACTAAGCTAAAAAAAAGGATGATACTCGGGAGCCCAGCTGGCTCAGTCAGTGAAGCATGCAACTCTCAATCTCAGGGTTATGAGTTCGAGTCCCATGTTGGGTATAGAGATTACTTATAAATAAAATCTTAAAAAATAATAAAGTGTGATACTGAATTGTAAATACAATATAATCTTCAGTGCTGATACATGATCAAAGACTTGATAAACAAGATATAAAGCATTATATCACATTACACAGACACATTGAAGAGGTGGCTTAAAAATAAGTCAGAATGACGAGTTAAAAGCCATTTTTGTAGGGCTTAGCTAACCTCACCTTATTCTAAGAATTTTTTCAGAATTTTTGACACACTTATTTTATCTTTAAAGGACTATCTTTAAAGTCCCTTTAAAGGACTTTAAAGGGAAGGCAGATGCTTTGAGCATGCATAGAAGAAAGTACAGAAGAAAATATCTGAGATATTTACTATTTACCTTTATGTAACAGGATTTTTTTCTTACGCATATATGTATCTGTAAACTCTGTGCCACACATGGGGCTTGAAACTCATGACTTCTAGATTAAGAGTCGCATGGCTCTGCCTATGAAGCCAGCCAGGCACCTCCAGGTGCCCAACAATTATGTAGAAGGATTTTAAGTGATTATTATAATTTTCTTCTACTTTGGCCACAGTGGCCATGAATGGCTTATAATAGGCAGGGATGGGTAAGGGGAGTAACCAGTTTCAGAGAACAAGATCAGATTCATAGGCTATATTTCACTTTGCATTTTTTATCAAACTCTTTGGACATTAAAATGCTTCGGGGGTAAGCAACCCAATGTGTTATGATGATGAGACTGCAACACACTATCAAGTTTGAGATCTTTGCTGAATTTTTTGCATAGCTTTGCTCTAAAGACCTAAGTCTTCAGCCTTCAAACTAGCTCTTATATATTATGTAGATGATGCATTTCATCAAAGAGCATTTCTTGATGGAGTAGAGAGAAACCTATCAAACAGTTAACAATGAACTAACATGCACTTGATTGCTTTCCTGGCTCTGACCTATTGAATGTAAACATTGGTAAAACTCTCAGAAGAAACATATTAAGGCGGACTTTTTCTTTTTTTTTGCTACTTAAAGTTTTGTTGTGATCTTTACAATATTATATGAGGTTTACATATATTCAAACTATCTTTTGGATGTTACTGTCAGCCTGTGTTAGTTTTTTTCCTGGTTGAGAACAGAGCAATCTGGCCTTCGGATGTCAAGTTCGGTGTGTCCTCACAGGTAAAATCAAATACTATGTCAAACAACGGATGTTCCAAAGCACATGCCTGTTAGAAACGAAGAATGCACATGCATAGGAATCAGCAATTCGTGCTGAAGAAGCCAGCTTGCCAGCTTATGCAATTTACTTTGCAGACACACAAGTCACAGAAGAAAAAATTTCTAAGAGGCTATCTCTTACTTGGTGAGTAGCTGGTTGGAGAGCAACTGCTTGAGATGCTGTGACAAGAGCTTCTTTTCTAGAGATAGTCTTATCCATGCTCGAGCTCGTCCGACGTCAGTCTTGATCTCACTCATGTTCTGAATATGCCTACAGAACAGTAGCAACAGCAGAGATGTAGATCCTAAGATCTTGGGCTGGAAAAGAACTAAAGCATTACAGCACTTTGTGCAGAACACTTCTTTCATACTTAGCAGAAGTGTGAACGGGTGATTCACACTTTATGCTGATTAAACCCTTCAAAGGGTCCATCTGAATCATGAATTCAGTTCCACATCAGAATCACCATTATAACACAAGTACAGAGGCAACACTCTCAGATAAAGCATTTAACACTTGTTTCTTCTTTCAGATTTTATAATGGTCTTGTTTCAGCCTCATAGATACCTGAATCTGGCAGCTGATTATTCCTGACCCTCAGGAAAATAAAAGTAACAAAACACCTAATATTTAAGTTTTTATTCACAATAATGGTCTAGGTTTGACTAAATATGTCACAACTTTAATATACTATATTATAGAGATAAGCTTTACTCCACTTATAAAATTCAAACTTCTTCTTTTTTTTTTTAAGATTTTATTTGACAGAGAAAGAGAGCACATGAGTGAGGGCACAAGTAGGAGGAGGGGCAGAGGGAGAAGGAGGTTCTCCACAGAGCAGGGGGATGCACATGTGGTGCTCATCTCAGGACCCTGAGGCCATGACCTGAGCTGAAGGCAGATGCTTAATTGCCTGAGCCACATAGGTGCCCCAAATATTTTATTTTTAAGTAATTTCTACACCTAACATGGGACTCAAACTCATAACCCTGAGATCAAGAATTGCATGCTTGATCAACCAACCGAGCCAGCCAGGCATCCCTTTCTTTCTTTTATCCTTTCCCTTTTTCCTTCCCTTTTTTTCTCTTAATCCCTGGATCTGAAGATTTAGGTCCTTAAACTTCAGTGCTGATACATGATCAAAGACTTGATAAACAAGATATAAAGCATTATATCACATTACACAGACACATTGAAGAGGTGGCTTAAAAATAAGTCAGAATGACGAGTTAAAAGCCATTTTTGTAGGGCTTAGCTAACCTCACCTTATTCTAAGAATTTTTTCAGAATTTTTGACACACTTATTTTATCTTTAAAGGACTAATACCAGTATACATGGTCATGAATGGAGAAAGCTGTCATGAGGCAAGCTCCCCCTCTTAGACTCTAGTTCTTACTGATGGTACTGGCAGTGGTGGGACACTTGACATCCCAATCTGGCACCCCCAGTAGAGCCTATGAAGTAGCACTGGCTCTTTTGCTACCTTAACATTTCCCAAATGATGACACAGTTGACTAAAAGCAACAAAGGGAAAATGGTCAGGCATTTACCACTTAGAGTTCAACAGTATTTAAAAGGTACCCTGTGAGTGCAGTGCCAAGTCAAAGCTCACATAATTGAGGAATACCAAATTGATTCAAAGTGTATTCACTGAAAATGAATCTATAATTGGTCTGATAAGCACTTATGTTGTATAATCTTTTCTTCAGTATTCTTTTACTCTAAAACAGTAAAATCAGGGTTCCTGTGTGGCTTAGTTGGTTGAGCATCTGACTCTCTGGCTCGGGTTGTGATCTCAGAGTCCTGAGATCGAGCCCCAGGTCTGCTCTGCACTGGGTGTGGAGCCTGTTTAACAATCTATCTCTGCCACTACCCTCACCTCTCTTTCAAAAACAACAAAAACCCAGTAAAATCTACTGAAGTAAGTTTTATGTTTGCCTTAAACAACTATCTGGAGACATGATGGGTAAGAATGACAAAGTGAAAAATAATTATAATTTGAAGAAACAATCTGTCTATGGTTAAGAAAATGAGAAAGACTGGAATACATAATGTACAGTCTATTTTAGGTGGCAATCAGCATCCCCATCATAAAATTATTTGCGCTAGTTGTTTTTTTTTTGTTTTTGTTTTTGCAAAGAGGCATGAGAATTGGGAGATGAAGCCTCCAGACTCTTCTCCTCAAACCCATCTTATTTATTGGTACCAGGGAAGTAACTGTCTAAAATATTGTCTCCTCAATATAATTCCTTTGTTCCAGAACCTTCAAAAACTCACAAGATACAATGCCTGCACTATGCAGGATAAACACTCAAGACTTACTACCCCTCAGCCTCAACATATCTTCCTTTTTTTTTTTTTTAAGATTTTATTTATTTATTCATGAGAGACACACAGAGAAGCAGGCTCCATGCAGGGAGCCTGACACGGGACTTGATCCTGGGATCCCAGGATCAAGTGCAGAGCCGAAGGCAGCCGTTCAACCCCTGAGCCACCCAGGCGTCCCTCAACAATCTTCCTATTCAAAAAAACTCCATTCCAGACAGCTGACTCATAAGATTGCATTCCACTACCTGAAGTGCTTTCTTCTTGTTTCCCTATTTGATTCTATTGGTGTTTCAGATCTCAGTTTCTTCTAGATACCTTTCCATGACCATGACAGCATTCAATGACCTCTTCAATTTATGAAATTCTGTAGTCTAATTTACATTTGCCATGTACTGCTTATTTCTTTTACTATTTTTCTCTTGGAATACACTTTTCTCATCTTGTAAAAGCTCCCTGGGAAAAGGAGCCCATTATTCCTTAGCAGCCTTGCAGCCTTATTTGTAAGAGGGCCTAGCACATAATAGGAGCTCAAAAACTGTAGCTTTGTAAATCTGTATCTAACTTTATGCTTTAAAACAATTTATATGTTATTAAATTGTAACCAAAATCTATTAAAAACTTGCTGTGCAGTTATACCATCTGAATCTGTCTTTAACTAGAATAATTTATTATAGATAACTATAATCGAATTCAATATAATAGTATACAAGTATTAACTTCCTGTTAATTCACAGAAAAGCATATATGGTATGGCTTAAATAACTTATTTACTTGATTTATTTCTTTTTAAAAATTATTATTTTTTTAAGATTTTATTATTCATGAGACAGAGAGAGAGAGAGAAGCACAGACACAGGCAGAAGGAGAAGCAGGCTCCACGTAGGAAGCCTGATGCGGAACTTGATCCTGGGACTCCAGGATCACGCCCTGGGCCAAAGGCAGGCACTAAACTGCTGAGCCACCCAGGGATCCCTATTTGATTTATTTCTAACCCTGCTACAAAACTTTCTAATTAAAAATAGTTTCTAGGTACTTTGTCTTATCTGATTATCACAAAAACTAGTAAGAGGGAGATCATCATTATTTCACTTTAAGAATGAGAAAAGAGAGTAATTGAGACTAAGTGATCCACTCAAGGTCACAGAAATAATATGTATTATTCTAGAGATGTCATCCATCTTCTACCAGTTTCTTTTTCCTCACACTCACATTCTTGGAGAAGTTCCCCTTCCATACCCAGAAGACACAACTCTATTTACCACCATGACCTATGGCCCCATGATCTTAATCCTTTAGCTAGAATGGACTGAATAAGAGGATCTGATCTGAACTGAGCCCACTAGATTTTCTCTCAGAAACTAGGAATTAGTATACTGGAAGAAAACCAAGTTAGTTTTTGTTAAGTGCTAAAAATAAGAAATGATGTTAGAGCCAGGGCTTGGACAAGCATATGCACAATAAAACAGAAAGAAGGGGAAGGGAGGGGAAGAACAGATGTGAAGGGATAAATAGTGACAATTTGCTTCCAGTGAGACAATGAGAGTAATCTGTGACAAGACTGTTAGGAGCTACAGTTCCTGTTCCTGGATTCTGGAAGACACGCTCATGTATCTTCAATAAATTCATCCTTTTTTTACTGAAGTGGGTTTGAATGGGCTGTTCCCTAAAACCAAAAGGTTTCTAAGAGTTGTAGCACCTCTAAATTTGGAGTTACATTTCCTGAATCCAAAACCAATGCTTACCTCACTGTATCATTAACAAAACCCAATATTATTCATTCATTCATCCACTTAAACAAGTATTATTTATTAGAGAAATCTAATAAATTAGATTAGCCAATTTTAGTTTAAGTTCATATTCTGTACAGACATAAAAATTCCTCAAAATATTTCTTCCCTCAAAATATTTGTTAATATTGATTAACAAAATCAATCATAATAACTTAATTTTACTGTAGAATAAAGCCAGATGCTCATAAGCACAGGTGCACACATTATTAGTAAAAAGGTAAAAGGAACTAGCTACTTTACCCTTAGGTAATTGATTCCCATCTTTATAAAAGGAATTTTTCTAGGATTTACTTAGCATCCTGTTCGTTTGTTTACATAGAATACCTAGACTTGGATCACAGTATTCAGTCTCCTTAGTCATGTGATGTTCTACTGTGCCCCTCAACCTGAATTACATTGCCATTAAGAATAAAAGTTCTGTTTGATGACATGTATGTACATGGCTACTCTGGAAAGAAACTGTAATATTGGCAACATCATGATAATCTCCTTTAAATGTAGATAATCTTTACAATTATTTACTATCCCCAGCCTTTCTCTATGGAACAAAAAAATCATTCTATAACCGACAGTTTTGTGAGAGTTGGCATCTAAAAAGGTCTTGGGGAGTTGTCTAAGATTCTAATACAAAGGGGACAGCCTTTATGTATATCTGTCCTAGACTCAAAGCTAAGTGAGCAATCTGGTGCCGAGACTCTTGACAACTATGAGGACTCAAAGTGCCAGTGCATTTTTGCCTCAAGAGATAAACCTACAAAGATAGGAGGTACCAACAGAGACATATGCTCAAAAGACAACACTGACTCAGAAAGGTACACTAATCTTGGAAAGTTTTTTCTTAAATTGTCTGGACTGAAAAAAATCGACGTTTAGGATATCACTTGGGTGTTTTCTTGAAGGAAAACATATATATCAGTATCCAGGTAATGATTAAGGACTAAAATGAAGCACTTGTCAAAAACCTGGTAATAGGAAAATAATCCTGTCCACTGGGAGTTAAAACTCTGAAGTAAACAGATCTTGAATAAGAAAAACAATATATAAAATGTCATCTTAAATAGAATGGAAGCAGAGAAAAGGGAGAAACAACCACGGACAGGGTTTTCTTCACGGCTTCTTGAGGTATCAGTCCCATGAACATGAGGATCACT